GGCGAACAAAGACAGCATGAGTCAGCGCAGTGACGCTGGGCGCGCGCGCTGCCACAGTACCCCCTCCGGGACCATGGGGTGACGTAAAGCGACGCCGGAGGATATGCGTAAAGGTAGAAGCAGTGCGAGACTAAACGGCCGGGGGAGTGGATGTGACGTCCACTGCGAGTCATGTAAGCGGAAAGAACAGTTGACGAGGACTGAAGGGAGGGGGAGGAGCAAGGGACGGAGGAACATGGGATAAAAATCAACACAAGCTTTTCCTGGTGGCAGATCCGGCGGTTCCTCCGTGGCAGCAGCCTTGACCACATCCTCCACGTCACCACGAAGGACCCGGCAGGTCTTGCAGTCGCGATTTGTGATTTGGGGAACCTTCTGTTGTCGAAACCAACAACTTTCGACAGATATATTCTTCCACTTTTTTCGCCGAATAAACGGCTACTCGCTTCTAGCCTGTAGTCTTCTGTATCGATACCCTTCCTAGCCACGTTGTTGCCAACAGGTGGCTCAAAGGTGTTAGCCTATATTCCACTTAAGGAAAATGAGCTGAATCCGATAATAACCGACATGACGATGGGTCTGTAGCTGAGTGTACATTTACCCAAATTTGCAAGTACACTTCCACCCTCAAAGGATTAGTTCGGCTAGCCTGCAATACTGGATATCATCGAACATGCTCTAAGTTTGATTTACACATAATGTCATGCAGACGTTTACATGGTCATGTGTCCAGTCCCCAAGGAAGAACAGGACGAATGGATCCCGTAACCGATCTGTGAGCACCCATCCATGAAAGTCAAGACTTCCGATCGAAATTAGCAAGACTGGCCTGTGGTTCAACGGTTAGAACGTCGAACTTCTAACCAACAGGTCAGGGGTTCGAGCCCTAGGGGTTGGGTGTGGCTGGCTGACGACGGCTAATAAGGCAGGAATAGAAAGTCCAGTCTCCATTGTCTTTGTCGGTAATGTCATTCGACCTGTAGTACTGGCCGTTTTGTGGCTGCTTAAGAGTGAGCCCCCAGGCAGACAGAACAGGTGAGTTCGTAACCGATCACTGAACGTTCATCCACCAATGCTAATATATTCGATCCAGACCGGCAATACAAACAGTTCGTGACGCAGTAAGTCAGAGCATTGGAATTCCAACCAATAGGCCGCGGGTTCGAGTCTCGAGTACTGTACCACCTGGGGTTGGGTATGGCTGGCTGATGACGGCTAATAAGCCAGAAATGTCCATCCCGGTCAATCAGACGGGAAATCGAATTGTGTTACCCGGTTGAGACAGTTATTACCTCCTCTGCTAAGTACCCGCGGTTGCCTAGGACAAAATAGAAGGACTGGTTACTAAACTATAAGTTAATTCTTGTTAGAACCTCTGCTCTTGCCCATCACAGTATGGAATCTTTCCTTTATCTACAGACGCGTTGGTACATCCACAGCGCAATACGAGTGTGAACTGCAGAAATAAGAAATAAAGCGATTTCAATTTCTGTTTTATGAGGCGTCCAGACAGGCCGCATTGAGAAGGACGAAAGGGTAGAAATAAAGGATCATTTATTAGTCAGAACCGAGCTATAAAAAAACATCAGCAGGAAACCGGGGAATAAAAACCGTCAAAAGCATGTTCGGTCAAGTTACTTCTGCTTAAATTGCATCTGGAAACTGTAGTAGTAGAAAAAGAGAGAAGTTTAAGACACCTACAAAAAGAGAATAAAATGGCAATCAAAAGGCGTTTATCACAGCCGTAGCAAGGAAGAGGCAGCCTGAGACTAGGGCAGCTCCAACATGTCATATTTCTTGTAAATGGTCTCCGTCACATCATAGGCCTTCTTCAGAGCAGGTATGCCCTCCTTTATGAGGAAATTGCGACAGATGTCAACAGTAGTGAGCTGACTTTCGGCTGGTTGGGATGCCACCATCTTTTCTATAAACTGCTGACGGTTAGGAAGGGCATGGAAGGCCACGGTGACAGCATTTCGCACGACCCAGGGGTGATGTTTGGCCAGGGTTTCGTCGTACGCAGTCTGACCCAGTTCACAGAGCGTTTTCTCGTCGGGTTCTGTGCAACGCAGAAGTAAGAGGCAAGAACTGTAACGGACTGTAACAGACAATAGGGACCTAGGGACCCGTGTGCTTGTTTTAGTTATCGGAATGGAATGCGGCACGTGACTCAATAAATCCAGTTAACATTTAGTTTGCATCATTTATTGTTTTCATCGTGTTCCATTGTCATATACACCCTTTTAGCCAGCCATGCAATACCGTACCCGAACATAGTATCCCGTACGGTTTGTCCCCCTTTGGTGGTTTTTTCTAGAGTATACTTATTCACTCATATGTTACATGGCCACACGCAAAAAAACCTTTGCAATACAAACTTTCTATCACGTCTACACATACCTTCTACAGTTGAGCATCTGTTAACAGGTTGAATCCGCCTCGGTACCGAGCTCGTCATGTGGAAGGAATTTTCCATTTAAAATAATAGAAATTAAAAAAAATACGTTCCACT